CAGGAGCTGTTCCAGTGCTATGCTCAGTAATGTAAAAAACAGCTCTGTGTCCATTTCAGACTCTAGTTCCAAGGATAATGAAATAATAAAGTTGGCAAGAGAGGATACAACAGCAGAAGGCATCCTTCTTATGGAGAAAACCAAAACTGCAAAACTCATCCATGAGAGTGAGCTTCTTCGTACCCTCGGAGTGATAGAGCATCAAGTCAGGTTTGCTTTTTGCTGTCCTGTGGAAGTTACTAGGACAGAGCATTTATCAGATGAAGCAAATACTACACACTGTCATGAGAGTTCTATTACGAGGGTTGATGTGCCGAGATGTCTGGCAACAGAAGACAGGCTTGCCACAGCCAACAATACTCTCCTTCACATTTTGCTGTCAGAATTGGAAACCAGAACTGAATGCAAAGATATCCAAATTGCCTCTGACTCTCTGCAGTTGCATACCTTTCATGTCTGTGTTTGTTCAAATGAACATTGTTCCTATAGGAAAAAGGAGAATGGTGTAGGTGAATCAGTAGTATATTTCTGCTGTAGCTGGTCACCTTGTGATGACAGGTTAGCCAGAGAGCTTCTGCAAATAATGGGACAGTTAGCTTTATCATGCTAAGTGTTAATCTCAGTGAGAATGTTTTATACGTGATCCAACCCAAGAAATACTCGGCACACCAAGACAGCAGGAAAAGGCAACCATTTTCGACTCTCCGAGCTAAGTTTGTGGTGTTCTAATCTAACCATCACAATGAGGGTGGTGCAATCCTTCAAGGTTAAGATGCTTTTCTGTTGTGTTAGAACTCTTCAAGATTAGAAATGGTAAGCCTTCAAGGCGCAAATTTTGTCTCATGCAAATTATTTAACTTGAATATATTTTTTTTTCCCAAACTTAGTTATTAGTACTCTTAACAAAGAAAAAAAATTCAGATTATACAAGTTAAATAATTTGCATGTTGTTGCTGTTTATTGAAATCCACATTTTCTTTTTCGTCTTTGTTTATCCTTTTTGTTATGTTTATTAATCACTAGTTTGTCTTTTCCTAGTATTTGATGATTTATAAGAGCGATAATTTGAATATTTCTTGAGTAGCCCTTTTGAAATTGGATTATTTCGTGAATAATTATATTTGAATTGAGATGCCGGTATATCTACATTGAGTGTGGTGCGGTATTTTAGATGATATATATTAGTTATTGTCCACCATCAAATAGTAGATGTACAATGCTAAACATGATATCAAAATAACGACACTCCTGATGCAAGGGTATCATTCTATGAACGATCGCCAAATTATTATGAGAAAGGGTATTAATAATGACATGATCTTGAAGTTGATGACATTAATGATGCTGTGTATCATATCTTAAACCCAGAAAATACTGCCATTGAGTGACAAAAAAATCATGGTATGTAGTATCGAATGATATTGTCCGGTATAAGCGGTACGTATCAGTATAGTATTACACTACAGTATTGTTATAGTATGAAGAAAATATATAAAATTGTTCGATATATCAGGATATATAAAATTGTTCGGTATATCAGGGTGTACCGTTCGGTTCGTCCTGCTGTACCACTCGGTACGTTGGTATCGTATCGTACCGAGCCAACCTGGAAAAAAATTATGAGATGTTACATATTAGATGAATATGACTTAGTGTGTGTTAGTTTAATCGATAAAGATTTTAATAGATCAAATAATTTGGATTCAAATATAGACATTAGGGACATTTTTAGTATTAGAAATTTGATATTTATTTTGCATAAAGAGGGTTATATTGGTGGGTAAGTTTCTCATATACATATATTATTCCTAATCAACAATGTTTATTTCATTCTTCGAGGTAGCAGGTCTTTGGGGGTGGATTGGTTGGTTGACATGAAACGAGATCAGTTATTATTAGTATCCCATATAACAAAATAGAGATCATCATTCTCTAAACATATGGTGTTATATTCTAAAAAATATAAATAGGTCGGCTCATGGATTGGCTAATTTTGTGCTATATCTCGCATCCATTGTTCTATCAAGTCTAGATCGGACGGTAAATAATGGTCCGATGATCTAACGAATCATAGTATCATGCATATCTAAATCATAATAAAAGCCTTACCGACATCTCATCATGTGTTTGTGTCTCGTAGTATCATCATGCATATTTAAATCATAATAAAAGCTTTGCATGTGCCGATAGTATGAACGGAAGTCCGATACCAATATGGATGGATCCTTCGTTCTACGGGTCAAATCAGGCTCTCATGCCCGTAGGGTGGTTGAATTAATCTTTACCTAAAAAAGAGCAATACGCGTAGATTCTTGGTTCCAAATCCAACGGCCCAGCAGCCGTCTCCGCCCCTTGGATTACGTGCATGAATCATAGTGGATTATTTCACGTACAATATCCATAACCCGCAACACGCAGCGAGTTTAATATTGCAGCAACCGGGAAACAACAACACCACCACACCTCCATGGCCAAACCCTAATATTTTGACTGCAGAAAGAGAGTCAGCGCTGCTGCAAGCTCGGCCTTTCCCCTTTGCTTCTGCATGCATTATTCCCTGGTGAGTCACCAAACTGTGAGTAGCAACATGCACAGAATCTGCATCCATCTACCCTTCTTCCCATGGTTTCATGAAAACCTTGGGGCATCTGATCGAACGCCGTACCTCGTTCCACCTGTTGATCTCCATCGGCATCCTACTAAAACATGTTTTATTCTCTGCTCAAAGTCAACTGTAGAGGAAACTTCTTACAGAAAACAATAAGCACATGGAAAGAGAATGGCGATAGGGCTCAAATAAATGTACAAGTCTTTCTTTTGACCCACTGCACACACTTCATCTTCTTCTTTTTGGTGCACGCAAAACTAACAAAGATCCAGCGAAAGCTATCCTTCTCTTCGTTCCTTAAGACCTCTCTCTCTCTCTCTCTCTGTGAAGCTTTGGTTACATGGAACGAGGGACGCGACGGACAAGCGCAGTGTCTTCTTCGTCGGTGGCTCCTGCCCCGGAGCTGCTGCCACTGGCGAAGGCGGCAGATCGGGCGCGGTGCCATCACCGCACCGGCTGCGGCGAGGCACAAGCGGCCTGGCGGCCGTCTCGCCGCTTGCTAGACGACCGCGCTGCTGGTGGTGAGAGCTCGACGGCCGAGCCTAGGCCTGTCATACCACTGCTCGACGCCTACGAGATCGAGTGGATCAGGAGGGAGTTGGACCGCCTCATCGTCGGGAGCCGTCAGGAGAAACGGAGCGAGACGGCAGCTGCTGCGGCGGCAGAGGAGGAGAGGAGGCGGGCGGCGAGGGCGAAGGCGGGGGGCGGGTTTTGGGCGCGGCACGCGGTGGGGTTATGCAGCCCCAAGGAGGGTGTGGCGGAGCCGGTGGCGTCGACGTCGGGTGCCGGCGGCCGGCAGTAGTTTGAGCTTTCAGGTTCGGTGACGGGTGCAATAAATTGGAAATCGATTGCTGCAATAAATATGCACGTCTTCGGGTCAGTATTTGAAGGGCTTTCGTTGACAGTATTAGCAGTCGATGGTGCTTTTCACATCAAATCATGTATCGATAATTATAGTTGACATCGCTCACATTAATAATAATAATAATAATAATAATAATAATAATAATAATAATAATAAGATTAATATATTGTACTATAAATTCGAAAATGCTGTGGCACTGCAAAGCAACCATATTTTGACACAATAAACTTGACAAAGAAGCATGTGAATTGCACGTGTAATCTTGAACATGATTCAGAAGCCAAAACAGAGGGAGGAAGCCTTTCAGTCCCACTCTCCCTTGACAACAACCTCATAAAGATGACAAGTCAAGAATATGAGAAACTGAGCAGTCATACCTACAGATCTGTGGCTTACCAAAACATGAAGCACGAACAACTACAATTATCAAGCTAGGAGGCAAAATTTTGAGAAAAATAACAATCTACCAACTCTACCAACTGTGTGAATTAACCTTGAAATTAACACCTTCTCATTTGAGAATAGAAGCAAAAATAATATCATGACTGTATCATGAATGCTAGTTATATTTTAATCGCATTATGATGGATGGTTACTCTCTATGGTATTTTACAAACTCAAATTAGCTTGAATGGGTCTTACACCCTATTTGTGGTGTCCAATCGCCATGCAAGGCTTGACCCTATGATGCAGCACCTAGTGTCTCTTTCCAAAATCTATTGATGAGCGGTGAACCAACTAGTGTAATGCTAAGTATCTTCTCAGAAAGTTTGATATCAGTTGCCATACTTCGACTCTAATTCCATACTCACTTAATCCTATAAAACATATATAAGGAAAAGAGTCATCTATTAGGACATGGAAGTAAACAAGTTCATCGAACCTGGAATTCTAATCATAGAGGGTATATATGTCGGAGCACCCTCAAGTCACTGGTGTGCTAGGCTATTACTGAACCCATGTGAATTCCTCTTTGCAGCTAATACTTGATTCGCATGAGGCAAAACACGAATACACGGCAACGGTTCCCCGATCAAGAGAGTCAGGATCATTTCTAACACCAAAGTAATAAAGTAACTGAGGCATGATCTGCAAATGGAACAATTTTAAAAGAAATTAACTTCCTGATATATAGATGTGTTATACAAGAAAGATGACAACAATCTCAGTTTCCTTCATTATACATAAACAAGCATAGGTGTGATATCTCAGCTGAACAAATGGAGAAACATGCACCACCTCAACATGCTTAGAAGCATATATTCGCCTCCACTTTATAGATAGATCATTCGGTTCCAATTCTTACCCATTTGATCTATCAGAACAGGTTGATTCTTCTGCTAATCAACTAGTAAATGTTGTTCATCTTACTTTTCAGTCATTTCTTAAAAATTTGGAATACTATTTGAGTATCGAGTACCATGTTACTTAACAATATGAAATTTTCATGACAATTTAATTAAATAATGTTTGCATATTTATCTGAAATAAGCAATAGCTAATAAGATTTAGAGAGAAAAGCACAGATTCATATCAAACCTGAAATTCATAGCATAAAGGACCATTGCAGTAGTTGCATTTTTTAATATTGGCTTTGGTGGGGCAACCAATCGACAAAGGCAAAGGCCACAGTGGTTTTGCCATCAGACCTCGACAGTATCTGTTCAATATACAGAAATCCTTCAGTTTTTATTGCATGATTTTCAGAAACAAAGGATCACTTCTTGATCATAGTGATAGTGTAGCACATGAAAATAAAATAAATAGAAATCCAATGGAAGTCTCCATTTTTTAAACATTCAACATATGTCCTGCTTTTAAAGGACGAAGAACATTTATGCCACAGACATACTTATCAGGCAGACCATAAGAATAGATAACTGTGCAGAATCAGGATTCATCCTGAGCAAATTTAACTCACCTCAACACTTGGTTGGGACATTTAGACATTCGTTCTTGAAATGATGCCGGCGGTACCTTTTATTCTCATCAGCCTTCACAACATTACAACATCCCAAGATCAAATACATAGTATCTTAATAGAGCAAGCAATAATGCAATGGCAATAAGGACAAACCTCAAACTTGTCCAGCAAGAACTGATATGTGTCATCTGTTTTCATATATTTAGGCACCAATGTTGTGGCACAACTATTATCTTGAGAAGTCTCCATATAAAAAGCACTTTCACCTTCTATAATAATCTCATACTCAGACCATAATGTACTGAAGGCAGCCAAAACGACCATGATAGATAAGTTATTTTCGTAATTCATTTCAACTGATCTGACCTTTATCTGTAGCAGGAAGCCTAGCTCTAGATGAACCAGCACTAGCACTAGAAGATTCTAAGTTAGTAATAATCTGATGGCACTGGTTTTTATGTCCAGACTTCCAATGCATAGCCTGGCATCCAAAGACAGAAATAAGTTATGATCAAGCATAAAATTTAGGAAAAGAAAAATATTATTTTTAATCACCTGATGTTTCTCAGAGCAGTAACATGCCCTCCTACACCTGCTGCAAACTTTCTCCCCTTTCCATGTGCCACACCAAGAGCAAAGTGCAGCTAGTAAAAACATCAAAGCAAAGAAAGATCAACTTTTTATGAAAAACCAATATGGTGAATATTAAACCCTATATCAATCACCTATTCTCAAAACAACTTGTACCATCCTCAGAGATGGTAACAGTGAATATAAGAAAATTAAGTATAAAATCAATATGAACTTTCATAGAGTCAATATCATAAATGTTTAGTGTTAATTGTTTTGTTCTATAACTGCATTGTTAATAAGTTTGACCAAATAATCAACTGAATGGGTTGGATTTAATTGAAAAGACAGTTTCAAGAAAGCCAATGATACAAGATAAGCTGAAATATAGGGGTAGCAATACAGGCAGGACAGGTGTAAGGTCAGTAGGACCAGGAATGGGCACAAAATCATCAAGATAACGTCAAAGGGATTGGATCTACCCTTGCTTTTTTGATCTTACTCTGCTGTCTCTAGATATTTACAATTGGATTTTATCCAGTGATAAAATAAACTTAATTCTTTATTTATTTCATTTTCAAGATATCTATGAATTTCAACTTTGAAATGCAAGCCTTAAGAATGTTATATGCACTGAAATTTTTTTACAAGCTGAAATTACTTAGAAATAATGTGAAAATGAATTTTATATGAGTTATTTGATTGACTATGTCAAGCTTACGAATTTTTCAATATAATCAGCTATATCTATAAAAACAAAAGGATCCAACTAAGGTAGAAGATTATATCTATAATGATCTTGTTTGCTGCTATTCCTTATAATCAACAATTGCTTTATTCTTGTTAGACCTTCTGCAATAATTAAGGTTCCTTACTAGCTGCAATAGTTTTCATCAGTTGAAAAGTCTCCCTACAACCAAGCAACATTCTAGATATGAGGGAACATCTTTATTACCATAGTTGCATTGGCAGATAAAAACGTTCACACATGATGATCTGAACATGGTTTCAAAACCATTAAGGAGAATTCGTTAAGTAGAGTTCCTTAACGCTAACACAGGATCCTTGTTGATCTTGTGATCACTGAACTGTTCTAGAATAAAATGCTGCTTGTCCATAAAATAAACCAATATAGTCTTTTTTTCCTCTTAAGGTTTCACAAAAAGTTTCTTTCTTTTTTTTTTTTTGTTCAAGGGCAATAGATCCCTTTGAATCAGGTCATCGCCTATATACTTATATAAATATTCAATCTAGAAGAGTTCACTTGTTTGGAGTAATTTAAGAAATGAAAATCTCATCTAGCGAAGCTATTTTTAGCAATACTTGACAGTTCAACAGAGGAATATGATCCTTATTTTCTCAAACAATTATATTAGATAAATTCAATTACCTCCAACCCTCAATGGTTTGTCAGTGCCATAATGTCTTGGTGGTTCATCAGAGTAGAAGGGATTGGATCGAGGAAATTGACAACGGAAGACTTCACACTTTAAAACCAGTCCAAGAAATAAAGAATATAAGCAAATACAAATGACACAGCAGTTAGAATGAAGAATACAAATCAGACATTCAAGGATTTAGTTATCAAATCAAAGGTCTAAGAATAATGTTATTTGTGAAGACTTGATGATAAAAAAAAATATATCAAGAAGCAGAACTAAAATCATATGAAGGAAGCCAAATTAACATTTCAACGGTAATGAACATTGCAATAAAACCATTGGTCATGGTCACTACCGAGGAGCACTATGGCTGCCCGGAGGATTCCGGCAGAAGAATTTGACCGAGAAAAGAAAACTATCAGAATATCTACTTTCCTGCAATCGCCATTAAAGGTGACCACTATAAGTAAAAGCAACTATCAGAGTCATATAATCCTAGTTTGATTGCTAGAGCAGGAAAGTCCATAACTACCCTGTTCGGAGAAAGTAAATCGGAACACAACCATTAAAGGTGACCACTATAAGCAAAGCAACCTATCAGAATATTTGAAACTCATTGGTAAATCACATTTCCATTAATTTGGGCATCTGCTGCCGCACTAAGCAATCCCTAATCTGGTATACCACCGGCTAGTAATCAACCAACTGTGTTTGCGTTTCCAAGTGTAGAACGACAGAAATTGGCTCCAAACTAAGAAGCCGTGGAAAGTGTTGTATAAAAGCAGAGTCCAAATAGAGAAAGGAAGGGAGGAGTTTTCAGGCCATCAGTCACCCGCCAGCCGGAAACTGCCACACCGGAGGTCCTACATCCATCCAACAGCCGCAGCCGCAGCCGCAGCGGAGTGGAGAGGAGGAACACTTACTGCGAGAGTGGGAAAGGATTACCGGCGGCGGAATTTGGCCGAGAAAGGGTTTAAGTTAAAGCACCGATATATATTTGGATTAGCTAGTTGTGATAAGAGCACAAGCTACAACTAAATCATCACGTCTCGAGTGTGAAAGCTAAGGTTCGTCATGAGACACCGATGAGAAGATCACGAATTTCAAAGCATCAAACACGCATCTCAAAGCCGAACGGGACCTATGACCCTGACCACATCAAGTCTGGGTTAGGCCCAACTCGAGCTTAGGCTCGGCGTGCCACAGCGACGACGATGAAGATTCCGCTAACTAAAGCGAACAAAATTATAGCGGCAGGAACAGATTAGGGTTTGAATTAATTCTACTTTCTTGCTTCGAAGAGAAGAGAAAGAGTATAGTCTCTTTGGTCCAAACTCGAATACATTTTTCCAACAACATGAATTTGAGGTACAGTCTCCATCCTGCACATTAACATACACAACAAAACCGCCACATAACTGCGTTTTGAAGAAACCCCTTTTTGCAGGTCGATGCACATGGTTACTTCAACTGTTGTTTCCTTTTTCAGGATTGCTTTTACAAACAATGAAGCGAGATGGTAATCAAATCACGGTTGTACCAATCAATGAGTTGATTCAACCAAATCACAGCATTGAAACACAGCACGATATTAATACACTGACATCCATCTTTATTAACAATACACATCCAAATTACAGTATCGATCTAACAGGACATAGACTATTTTAAGCTTTTTGTCACCACTGAGTTAATAGCACAAAAATAAATCCCTTTACATACCTTACTGATAGAGGTGGATGATACCATGATCAGGGAAGAACTAGCAATAAAAAAGAACCATTCAAGGAGCTCTACAGTTCTAAAATTCCAGTTAATCAATGCCTTTTCCATCGCTCGTAGTTAAACAATCTATGTATCTTAAAAATCTGAAAAGATTAAACTCGATTATCTCAGCGATCATAAATTTGTTTGTGTTGGATTTTGTACTACTAGCTTTGGATGGGTTGCTGCATAAATGGAGGAGTTCGGATCAGTCTTCAAGTGTGAAAGAAGATGCTGAACATCCGGTCTCAAAAGTTCCATGACTTTGCCGCACAAGGTCAAGCTCTCCACTCTGGGTTTACTGGTGTTCTGCACAGGTCCTCCTTGTCCTTCATACATGACAGCATGGTGCCTGATTTCACAAAATGTTAGAAGAACAAGAGATTATTATTCACATGCAAATATAATCCATATATGTTGACATACAAATCAGAGATCATGTATACAACTTACAGAAAGTCAATAAGGTCCCTTATATCTGATGCTTCAGCATGAACTGCAGGCTGTGAATTCTTTCCAAACACATCAGCCATCACATTGAATAACAGAGCTAGTGTCTACGGAACAAGATATAAGTGGTCCATGTTAGGGTCGACAAAGGACAAGTATCATCCAATTATAAGAACTTCAATGGACATTATAGATTAAACAGAACAAGATATGGAAAAGAGTGCCTGCATCATATAATACGTTATATAGTTTTCCAATTTGTCTAAGAGGTCATAAAGACTAAAGCAATGTAGAAAGTCAAAATGACATCTTAACCGGCAGAATCCCCTTTTTGTAGAAAGAAATAATAGTCAGTGATCGCATCTGAGTATGCAACTGTTAACATAGTAATGAGGATAACACAAAACAAGTAGTTTGTCAATCAGATCTTTTAATAGAATGCAACAAGTGGCACACTGTTAAAGCATTTATAAATGTTAACAAGTAACAAAACCAAGAATTTTCAAGTACTGGTGCCACTCTAATAGTCAATTGGATTAATATGGTATGCCAATATGGTCCCTCGTAGATTTGATACAAAACACAACTTTTAACACAAAAATAGTAATACATATATTCACAAATGTGCATACAAATAATTCTATGTGTACCTTCATGAACAATGGACGAGCAAAGGCAAGACGAGGCAGTAAAGGGCCCATTATGCGGAAAGCTATTCTTAGCATCGCAACAGAATTCAATGGCCGAAGATGCTTAATTATTGTATGTGTTGATTCTAGCCATTCATGTGGAAGATTGCTAAAGAATGAATGCAGCAGTGCCACAATATTTCCTGAGACACAGAAAGGTAAAAAGCAACGTTGGGTTAATAAAGAGAAAGTTTAACAGCTGAGAAGATTTAAATAGTCCAGTGTAAGAAAAAAGATATGGATCAATGCAAGTATTTCTTAGGAGTTAAGTCCCAGACATTTGTTTAGCAAATACAAGCAAAATTGTAGCATGGCTCCACATCATATCAGGGTTTGCATGGCAAGGGTGCATGTGTTCCTCTGCTGGTAATTTGTAGTGCTATGTAAACCATAAGTTTATACGAATGGGTCAGGGAAATTATAGCACCATGCTCAAAGTCAAAGCCATATTGCCAAGAGTCAGACATGCAGAACACAACGATCTGTGACTCTGGAATTAAACTATGGGGGCTTCCGAACACCTTCTATAAACTGGCATAAAATCTAGAAAAGCAGCAAGTAAAATGTTAAATTGCCTCAACCATCTTGATAATGTTTTCATGTCAATAATAACTTATTTCAAATCCTTTCTCCTCCATAATAAGCTAAAGAGGCACAAAATATAATGCTATGGAGGTTTCAAATATCATCCCAACCAATAAGTATTAATCAATATTTATTAATTTGCCCAAAGACTGCTATTAAACCATATAGGTTGGTCCAGTCGATATGTACTTTTTATTATTTTTTCCATTGATATCTGATGGTGCAGTTCAGTATACTGCCAGGTATAGTAGTACTATACTGATCTACCGGTAGCCAAAATTTGTATCAATCCAGTATTTAAAACCTTGATGCTAGGAAGGCATGGGATAGTCTGCAAAGAGTTGTAGGTTGATCATGTATTACAGGCCATAAGATGGAGCATACATGCCACTCAAAGTTTTCCAGTGTGCCTGGAATAATTGACAATAGGTGAAATATTCCAACGGGATGGATTAGAGACTCGATCTGCAGGGGGTTAGTAAACACTTTACCATTTTGCTATATGCTATTGTTGCAGAAAGGATACAGAAGGGCAAAAAGATGACATTGTGAAGCGACCACTGATGAAGCATAGTCTGCAATATTGCCTGCTCACAATATGGTATGTCTGATCCATATTGATCTTATTAAAGATTGATGTGATTCGGTTGAACTTTCGACCTCATGACTAGAATTTGGTTGGAATAAACTAGAACCAATCAAACTCAATCAGAGTTGACCAATTTTGGTCAATTATTTGATGACCTCAGACCAAGAAAAAGAAGAAAGCAGAGGGGAAGAAGAGAAAAAACATGAAGCAAAAGAAACCTCATAAGGTAGGAATGCCATCATCACACCAAATGTCATAGGATTCACAATTTAAACAATAGTTATTTTTATAAATATTCTGAATCAATTTCATTGTTACATTCTACAAGACCAATATATTTTTACGAAAAATAGCTATTTTATGAAAAATGATGATAATATAGTCTTTTAGCATGTATTATTTTAATATTCCATATTTTAATAATAATTATTTTTATCTTTTTTTAACTTTTCAGTTGACATTGATCCCATTAATCCAAGTGATACCACCAATATCAATTGTATGATCCCCAGCTACTCATGATCCCAATACTGATCTTGTGAATTATGCAACTAAGATTTCAGCCTATTAAGATTTTGATCACTTCACAGTTATGACATCTAAAGAAGGCTTGCCAAATTTGGATTAGCCAATAGGAACAATAGCAGACCTGCAAAGCCTAGAAACTAGAGATATTATTATTTACATTTAAGTCTTGAAGCTAATTGCAACATTCTAAAAGCTAATTTCTAATTATAGACCAAAAATGATAAAAGATCATTTGATATGGAGAGCCAAGTCATGGACGTCAGTCTTGGTCATTTTCAATGTACAAGCATGATGTTGACACAGGTTCATTTCCTCGCCAAGGACATGCAAACACAAGCTTCTCATAGAGCCCAGCTAGCATTCCAACAGAGCATAAGTTTCCACAGACCAGCATAGATTGATCAGCATGTATATGACATTTTTTACTGGAGATACATGGCACTCTGAGATTAGAAATCTTGGATAAGGTTCATATCATGCTAAATTTTCTATATTTAATTGGTGCCTATTCCATGCCTGATATATAGGTCAATACTAGTAAATGGATTTTAATAGAGATGGGAAGTTTCGACCATCTAACA